GGATTGCGACTTAATTCTTATTTTTCTCTTGTTTTTCGATCTCGGGATGATCTCATCGCGTTGAAATTTTATTTTCCTCGAGTCCTATTGTTCCGTTTCTTCTGTCTCAAAATTTCTATTTTCGCCTGTTACCAGGCCGATTTATTTTCATGGAAGTGAGGGAGATAGTCGAGATTGAGAATTACATGACATCACAATGATGTCATCGGTCAGGTTTAATCCGAGACAAATAAGAAGGAATTTTATTTGCCTCGGTTTTCCCTTGATAACAAATCAAGCGGCGACTTGTCGAGGGTTTTGGGTAGCAACAGTCGCCTGTTGCTAGGGGAGGGTCACGTGATCGATTACGTGATCCCTACCTTACGTAATTTCCCCTTCCTCTCGTCAAATGTTCCGCGGGATCCCTACTCAGGAAATTAGTCCGCAGTAGGAGGGAAGTGAACCCCCACTCTAATCAGGCGGTATATAGAGAGGCCTCCGGCCCGAGTCCGACTACTACGTTTACGGCTCCCGAAGTGATAAGTTCTATTTGAATTCGTAGTTGAGGACTTTTTTTATTGAGTTATTGCGTTTTCAGACTTCTTAGCCTTTAGATCAATTTTGAGTTTTGAATCCGTTGGAGTTGTGCCGAGGCCTAATGAATCTCTCCAAATTATTGGATTATTTGGATTACTTGGGATTAATTCTTCGATCTTATTGGACAACCTCAGACATTCAATCCAAATTATTAACATCACTATTACTATTATAACTATATCAGTTTTTTTTCTTCCCTTTTCTTCCGGGAAAAGGTTATTTTATTGCAATCGGTTATTTGCTAACGGCTTCAACCGATTCTATCGATTTTCTCATCGAGTTTTACTCATTGAGGTTAACTGACTTCTCCGAATTTACGTCGGACTTTTTCCAATCTCCGTATTGGTCCAGAATTGTTTCAATTTCGGTTAAGTTTCCCCTACTCCAAATAAAAATTTCTTTGGGCTTATATAATAATTTCTGATTCTTGATCGGTTTAAAGAAAAATGGGCGATCGAAAGTCGAACGATCCCACTCCACCTCTTAACGAGGATGGAACTCCTAGGGAACCATCTACGGGTGAGCTTCCCCAGCGCAACGGATCCACTGCCCGTGGTGCACCTCCCGGTACTAGTAATTCTAGTACTGAGGCCTCCATCCCTGGTAATGGTATTTCTGGAGCTGCAACTTCTGGGGTTACTCGAACCTTCCAAGAGGAAATATACGTAAAGGACCACAGTCCCCACCGCGAATCCAAAGGTCAAGGTTACGCGGTGCGGTTCCACTAGGAGTGAGACTATTTTCGACGTCGATACTTCCGATGCGGCTTCCGTTTCATCGGCGTCCAGCCACGGATCCATCCCAGTCGTTGGCACGGAAGATCCAAACTTGGTTAACCAAGATGGCACTCCAGACGAAGAGGCGATCGCTCTGGTCTATAATTGCATTCGCTTGGGGAATGTCACAACCGAGAGGCGCACTCTCCAGGGAGTATATCCAGGGATTAACCCTTCTCTACCCACCAATGTGGTCTGGCCAATATCCGCAGCAACAAGGATATGATCCTTTTGCCACAGGAAATTCCCAACCATCAGGGCTACCCCCTTACCCTTTTGCCGCAGCAGAAGGCAATCCACCGCCGCCAGGGGCACACCCCTACGCCGCGTGGCCATCCTATCCCCCCTATGGGAGAGGTGTTCCTCAATCACAAGGATAAAATCCCCCTACTACAGGGCAGGTTCCTCCCACATCTGGGGAGCGAAATTCCTCGAATGAGAGGCAAATCCCACACACCCAGGGTGTGGTTGGTCATTTCCCGCGACGGGTGATTCCCGTTGACGAGGACTTCCACTGCTCCGATGGAGAGAGTAGATCAAATCGCAGGGGACCGAAACCTTTGGAGCCAGTATCCCTACTAAATTCAATGAAGAAATGGGACGCGAAATTCTCCGGTCTTCCTCACGAAGACGTGGAATTATTTCTGACTAGGATTGAGGAAGGTCGATCCTTCCGACCTATCCCTGATGATTTACTCCTCGGAGGCATCCCGTTCCTTCTGTCCGGTTCTGCGTTAACCTGGTATCGGGGTCATCTCCCTGAATTCCGAACTTGGGAACAAGATCGAGAGATTTTCCAAACCACGTTTACGGACCCTGACTACCAAACGGCTATCCGCGAAGAACTCGCGCTCCGCACTCAAGCAGAAGATGAGTCGGTCAATAATTATTTCGCCTGTATCCGTGGGTACTATACGCGTATTGTACCTGCGGTTAGTGAGTTGGATCAAGTGGTTCAAACCCACCGCAAACTCCTTCCCAATCTCCAGGTCGGGTTCGCTCTTCGTGACAATATGACCATGGATGATCTGGAAAAGGCCGTTAAGCGCCTCGAGAAAATTTACGAGAAGGCTGCTGATAGGCGTCCGCCTCCAAGGCCGGAACATTCGATATGCCCAAGCCTGGATTGACACGGCCCATGGGCCTTCCTCCCTTCCTCCTCGGGTCACTAATAGAAATCCAGCCAAACCGTTGGCTTGGCAGGGCACTACTCAAGCCCGACCCCGTACTCGAGAGAGACGTACTCGCAATCCAGCCCCTTCCGCGTCAGGACCAGCTGGTCCTCCTGCTGGTATTACTCCGACTCCTCCAGCAGCTCTCGCTGCAGGTGGCTCCGTTGATGCTCCTCCACTCCAGCAGCCTAGCTCAAGTAACTTGGTATGTTGGAATGGCAATGACGTAGGGCACCGTCACAGAGAATGTCCTGAGCCGCGTAGGATTTTTTGTTATGGATGCCGCAAATCGGGAGTAACCACTCTCAGCTGCCCCTTCTGTAACTCCGGTCAACCGGGAAACGGGTACAGAGGCGCGTAAATCCGGTACACGCTTCTCCACGTCCACCCGTCCCTAAGCCGGCCTCTCATACCGGTGCTGCATGTATCCTTTCTGCACAGCAGCAATTAAGTGAGGAGGAACCCTCGATTTCACGACTTCCACCCGTGGACCAAACCAAGATGGATTTCGATCCGCGCTCTTTATTGAAACCGGAACCCATGCCCCCAAACGATGTGTTGGTAATGCGTTTCCGATAACGCCCCTTTGGCTTTCCACGTCGATATCATTATCGGTGGCCTTAGAGTCCGAGCGTTAGTAGATTCGGGGGCTACTAGGTCATTCGCTGGTATGGCTGGCATCCTTCTGTTTGAAAAGGCTAAAATCCCGTTACTGGGCATCCCGGAGAAACGAGTAATCACGGCGGGGGGCAAAATCGAAATCGTCCGACATACGGCTGCGTGCATCGTGGACTTTGAAGGGCGTAATACCCCATTTAACACGTTCATCATGCCTTCGTTATCCGAGGACTTCATCAATGGAATGGTCTTCCTTGTGTCGGCAAGAATCGTCATCGATTTCTTTGACCAAACTTGGTATTATCGGGATAAACCGGATGAACGGTTCCGATTCACTCCTGTGGATCAGGTCCAGCATCTCACTATGCGTTGCCGGTTACGTACCATTGAGAAATCCCAGGAGCAACAGCTCCAGGAGTTCCTCGATAGGGTTCTCCCGAAAAAAGAGGCTAAGTTGGGAATTACGACTCTCACGTCCCATCGTATTGATGTTAATGGTCGTCCTTCTATCCGGCAATGGCCTTACCATACGACTCCTGCCATACGGGAGATCATGTGGAAGGAGGTTCAAGAAATGTTAGACAACGAAGTTATCGTTTCATCCCAAAGCGATTGGTGTAATCCAATCGTGATGGTCAAAAAGCCTAACGGAAAATACCGTTTTTGCATAGACTTTCGGAAAGTAAATGCAATCACCAAGAAAGACGCCGATCCTATTCCCAACATGACCGAACATGGATCCCGACTCTAGGGAAATTACCGGGTTTGTGGTCCCCGGCCGCGGCTCCTATCATTTTCTCCGTATGCCATACGGCTTAACAAACGCTCCCGCGACATTCCAACGTCTTTTGGATCGATTGATAGGTCAAGATATGTATCCAAAGGTCTTTGTGTACCTCGATGATATTATCATCGTCTCCGAGTCCTTCGAGGAATATCTTGAATTACTCAGCAAAGTTCTTGAACGAATCAAGATCGCCGGTCTTACGATCAATCGTGAAAAGAGCGAATTCTGTCGCTTCTAGGTGAAACATCTGGGATTGATCGTCAACAGCTCCGGTCTCCGGGTAGACCCGGAGAAAATCGTCCCTGTTTTGGAGTTTCCGCAACCGCGGAACTTGAAGCAGCTCAGGCGTTTCCTCGGTATGGCTTCGTGGTATCGTAGGTTTATTCCCCAGTTCGCTACCATTGCGGAACCTCTAACTCGGCTGACCCGGAAAAACCAGCCGTGGGAGTGGACTGAGGCCCATGATTTCGCCTTCATCGCATTGAAGGTGCATCTAACGTCTTCACCGACGTTAGCCTGTCCTGACTTCGGGTTACCTTTCTCCCTACAGACTGATGCAAGTACTGTAGGGTTAGGGGCTGTTCTTACCCAAGTCATCAATGGGGAAGAACGAGTAATCGCCTACACGAGTAGAGCGCTCACTTCCGCTGAGAAGAAATATACAGTCACTGAACTGGAATGTCTCGCGGTTATTTGGTCTATTTCCAAATGTCGATGTTACCTGGAGGGCTACTCCTTCACGGTAATTACGGAGCACAGTAGTTTACGTTGGCTACATAACCTCCGCAATCCTACCGGTAGGCTAGCTCGATGAGCCCTTTGTCTCCTCGAGTATGATTTTAATATTATCCATCGGAAGGGTGCTCTGCATCATGTTCCGGATGCGTTATCCCGCGCTCCCGGGGGAGAAAGCGAGGACTGTGAGACAATTGAAGTTGCACAAATTTCCACTGACAAGTGGTACTCAGGCAAGTACCGTAACGTACAGCGTGCTTCAGATTTCTTTCGGAATGGAAAATTGAGGACGGACGGTTGTACACTCACCGACCCTCCGACTTCGTTACGCTAGAGATGGTGGATCTTGATGCGTGGAAGTTGGTACTTCCTCGCGAACTACGTTCCCAGGCCATGGCTCAGTGTCATGAACTTCCCCAAGCGGGTCATTTGGGGGTTGACAAAACATATCGTCGCCTCTATGTGTTGTACTACTGGCCGAACATGTTTCGCGACGTAGTTTCGTTCGTCAGCCGTTGTGATACCTGTCAACGCTGCAAAGTAGAAAATGCTTTGCCGCGGGGTCACATGGGCCGACGCGTAGTCCAGGGTCCTTGGACCACCGTGGCTGCCGACATCGTTGGCTCTATCCCTCCGAGTAAAACCGGCTATTCCTACGTACTCGTGTTACAGGATCTGTTCACGAAGTGGGTAAAGATCATTCCTCTCCGGCGTACCACTGGCAAGGCGATTCGGGAACAGGTAGAAAATGTTATCATTTCTCGCTGGGGGACACCCCGCGTCCCATTCACCGATAACGGAACGGAGTTCGTAAATTGGGAGATTCAAGCCCTGGCGGCCCACACGGGGTTGAAACATGAAACATCCCCGCCGTACCATCCCCAGGCTAATCCCGACGAGAGGGTCAATCGCATTCTCAAAATAATGTTGCGAGTCTTCATGGAGGGCAACCACAGAACTTGGGACGCGCACTTACATGAATTCCGTTTTACATTCTATACGGCGGAACATAGTTCCCTCCAAACCACTCCGGCTTCCGCCAATTTTGGCCGGCATCCTCTTGCTGCGGTTTCCCTTCGACAACAACTCGAGGGAGACGTCGAGGTCATCCCTGGCGAACCCCTGGAATGGGTAGGTCGGATGAAGACGCTGGAAATCCTCCGTAAGTCCCTCACCCACGCCTTACGGGAATCGTCTGATAAACAGGCGTACCATTACAATATCCGTCGCCGGGACATCGAGTTCGAGGAAGGTGATCTCGTCATGAAACGAACTCACTCCTTGTCCAACGCCGCTAAGCGTTTCTTAGCGGCTTTGGTTCCTCCCTTTGATGGGCCCTTTATCGTCCAGAGGAAAATATCCCGAGTACGATATCAGCTCGCGAACTTCTCTGGCAAGGACCAAGGCGAGTCGTCGATACGGGATTTGAAACCGTATCGCCCGTCGCTGCCCGGCTTAGCGTGATAACAAATGCGGTCTCCGTGATCTTTTCACGGCTAGATATTAATACTCAACCCTTCCGCTTCACAAGCGGCCGATCGGCACCTCTACAAAAGAAAAAAAACAATTTTTTTTGGGGTTATACACTTCCACGTACATGTGGCCGCCCATCCGAACAAACTCTCCGCGCCTTTCTCTATTCTAGAAATCGACAGCAACGACTTCCAACACTCCCTTAGAGGTTGTAGACATTTCAGAGAGTCCACCCGAGTCACTGCAACTCCGAAGACGAGAAACCCGGCACCACGAAAGTCAGGCGTGGTGAAGACGGAGGAGCCAAGCTCCGTACCCTCCAGCAGCACGAAGGAAGTCTCCCAGGAGGAGCAAGATTTCGTGGCAGCCCTATGGCCGAATGGCGCTCCCCCAGAGCTTGCCGACTTCCACTTCCCAAACTTGGAGCAGAAAATCCAAGCCCTTTCCCCTCGAAGGAGTCCCTACCATCCGAAGACAGAAGCCATCTCTCGGCCAAATACCCCCAATCCTTCAGGGACCCAGCCAGGTGAAGCTGTCCCTGAGGCCACCCCCGAAACTCCTCAAGGGATTATTCCCGAGGGTATCCTACATTGGAGGCTCGAACCAGCCAAGCTCCTAACCCAGCCACGACTGCCCCTTCACCAACACCACCCAACGTCGAGTTGGGCAGTCCACGTGCAATCCAGCCAGTAGTCCTACTGGAGAGGATTCAGGTGCCACCACCGGTTCTTCGGATAGAGGACTATTGGGAGCCCCTTGAACCCTGGCTCCCGGATGTATGGAGTGTGGAGCGAAAGAAGAAAGGCTTTATGAGAGCCTTGCAAGCCTGCAGTCTCCAGCCGCTTTGTCAGATCACCGAGCATCGGTATATAATCCCTCCAATACACGTCCCAGTGGAGCCGGATGGGGTCCATCCCCTGGTATTGGCCAACCTGATTGACCCAGCTGTAATGGATCACGAACCCCCCAGAACCGCCTCGGCCCACTCTCCTAGGGGGCAAGCCCCAGTTCCTCCCTCTCCAAGGTCACCTACGGAAGTAGTAGCCTCCAGCGACGCCTCATCGTCATCCAGTTCCTCGTCAGCGTCATCAACGAGCAGCTCCTCGTCGTCTTCCACAAGCTCTTCCAGCTCAGTGGCTAATTGCTCCAAGGATGAGGCAGAACAGGCTCACCAGGCCCACTGTCCGACGGTTACGACCGCGGCTCCAACCCCCATGGAATTGGAGGTTAACCCCTGAGAAAACCCTCAAGGTCCTGGCCACGACATCCTCCAGATCGACCTCCGCGAGGACGAATGAGCATCACTTGCAGGTTCCACGGAGGACACACCTTCGAGATCCCCGAATCGAGCTCGCAATGGTTCTACATCCTCAGATCAGAATGAATCATCCATACCCCTGGAGGCACTCCGCCAACTCCCTCTGGCCATAAGGGAGATGCTTCGTGGATATTCTCCAGTGATCCCCATCACTGGCCCAACACCCTCCACCTCCGGGTCGGATCAAGATCATTCTCCAGTGATCCCCATCACTGGCCCCACACTTTCCACCTCCGGGTCGGATCAAGATTATTCTCCAGTGATCCCCATCACTGGCCCAACACCCTCCATCTCCGGGTCGGATCAAGATCATTCTCTAGTGATCCCCATCACTGGCCCCACACCCTCCACCTCCGGGTCGGATCAAGATCATTCTCCAGTGATCCCCATCACTGGCCCAACACCCTCCACCTCCGGGTCGGATCAAGATCATTCTCTAGTGATTCCCGTCACTGGCTCCAGTCCTCCCATAAAAACCCGCCTCGGGTCGGGCCACAACACACCTCCAGCGATTCCAACCGCTGGCCAAGCAACTTCCACTACCACCCAGAGACTCCCAGTACTTGATAGCGCGGCCAGATCCCGATCAGACTCTGCAGCAGTTCCCCCTGAGTCCTCCAGTGACTCTCGCAAACTCGAACCAACCCAGGGTGATGACCCGTGCAGGAGCACTCAGAAGAAGGGGCCCAGCAAGAAGCGCATTTGGTGCTTCGATTGCAAGAAACATGGACACCGACCCGCTGATTGTCCGAACCCCATGGAAGAGACCTTCTGTGACAAATGCCCCTTTAGGGTCGCCAGAAATCGACCCTGCCCGATACACGGTACAGACCTGGCCGGGGCACCCTGTAGCAGATCCGCGAGTAGACCAGCGGTCCGATCGGAGGTATTTAGAGTACCTCGTACCCTCGATAAGGCCTCCGCCACTTCGTCTCGAGTCTCCGACACGGTCCCGATCAAGCCCGGTAGAGAGTTGAGGCACGGAAAGTCCTCTCTACAGTCGTCGTCCTGACTCTCAGAAAATCAGCAGGGACTACGAGTACTCCAGAGCTTCACGAAACTTTCAAGCCCGGCAGTATGTGGGCGAGGGAGCCGTACGAAGGATTCCGAGAGAGTCAACCCCCGATCGCTATGGGGAATTTCGCCGTTCGACTAACAGGGAATAGCCGGCGACTGGGGAATACAGGGCCTATCAGCCTTCTCTCGAGGATTCACCTCGCCAAGTTCCAGCACCCCACTGGACACCTCCTCTCAATTTCCCACCAATCAACCCCTAGTATGAATCCGCTCGGAGTAGCACCTCGGCACCTCCCCGGGAGTATGCACCTCTCAGGGACCTCACCCTTGCCACGCCGAGAGACCAGGGACTATGCGTCGTTCTAGCCAGCGACATCATCACGGGCCTCACAGCCCCCCATACCTACAGCAGGAGTGACTCTCCCACCTGACGCCGTGGCAGCCATCGCCGATATCCTCATGGGACGTCACAATTCACCGGGCGACCCGGACGGGTCCAACAAATTCTGGGGTTCCAGGTATCCTCCCCACTAAACAAGTGATGGCTAATACAAAAAAGTACGGCTGTACCTGCTGGGCGTCCTCCGGGAGTAAGCCCCTGAAGAAGACTTATAATTTAGGTTTTATAAACGAGTATCAATGAGTCAATTTTCTTTTGTATTCCTTTTGTCGCATTCCGGACCGAGTCCACTATTTTGTCGACATCAAAGTCATTTTTTTTTGTCTGATAAGCGAAATGCAATTATTTAGTTCAGTTTTTTCTTCGCTTGTTTTTCACATTAATGGGGCTATTCCCCTATTATTTCATTCTTTTATGTCTCTTCTTTTTCCTCTCAAGATGTTAGGAGGGAGATCCAGGGCGATGTACTGTAAGACCCAAGTTAAAATTCACTAGTTTTTCTTTTTCCATCGCATTCGTAATAAATAGAGTATGGACCAACAAGAAGTCTAGTCCTTCGAATCCTCCCGCTACCTCTCAGGTCGTGAGTTCGAGGTTAAGTTTTGTTAAATATAAGCATCCAAACCTTGGTGAAACGTACGACAGCGAACATCCACGCCGACAACAGATCAACAACGATGAGGCGAACACGGATACCAACGGTCAAAGGAGGGGAGTATAACGAACATGTGGGGATGTTCGTTAGGAAGACCAAAAACGATCTGGAAACAGCGAGACTCCTACAACGTTGAATTAAAATCCGTGAGTAAGAATCCTAGAGCGAGAGAGTGACAGTCCCTTATCCACTTCCGAGTGGCTTATTTCCGGCTAGAGTTATCGGTTCCGTTTATTAGTAAAGATTAGTAATTACGCGTCTTTGAGGGTCCAGAAAAATTATCGCGAAGAAGGGCCAAAATTATAGTCATCCGGTTCTTTTTATGGGGTTCACCCAATTGTTAATCTTGCGGGTAATCGATTAGGTCCGGCTGAAATGCCGGCGCTGCAATTTCGTTGGGTTTTCAGGGGTTAATTGGTTACTTTTTTCGTTTTGGGTGGAAGGTCATTCGGAGCGAGTGCAACCATCGTCTCCAACGAATTGCCAGGTTGCCTTGGGATTTTCGATGAGAGAAACGAGTTGAGAAGGAATTAATAGTGGAGCAAAACAAGTGCCGGGGTTAAAACGTGTCTTTTAACCCCGAAAATCCCGGAGATCCGATCCGTGGGAAGCGCCAAAGACCTTTAGTAATTATCCGAATGACAATCAGTTCGGCCTAGTCTTGCGTAATAATTAATAAAAAGGAACTAAAAAGCAAAGGAAAGGAATTAATAAAAGGAAGGAGGAGTTTTGTGTTAGGTGATTAGAAAAGAGTTAGGTGAGATTTGAATAATCGCGCCAGGTCGTGAGAGTAACGATTAATTGTCGTTAGATTCGCACCTTCGAGGGGCGTGTCCGCACCAATCAAAATTCGGGTGATTGAGCGGTGAATTCCGCGCTCTGAGGTGTCTCGAGACGTGAGTTTGGCAGTTCGGCGTTGGTCCTTGACCTCACCGGAACTAGTGCCAGTACAGTGCCTATCTTGGGACTATAGTGCCGCTACTTGGATCATACTATCTACACGATAGCGAAGAACACCCCAAAGAGGGGTAAGAAACTCAAAGTGAGTTTTATTTCGGTTTATTTATTTTTCCGAATTCATTTTGGCTTTTAGTTATTCGACTACGGGGTCTTCAGCCCCGTACGTCGCTTTTTATTCCGTTAAGACGGTGATTGTGACGCATAATCCAAATTGTGAGGTGCAGACCCCCCCCCTTACCACTCATGATTGGGTGGTTTTCGTGATTTTTGGTGGGTTATTCGAGGGGATTTCTCCCCTTTTTGAGGTTTTCCGGCTCAAACCCGACTCCGATCACACTGTGCATCGGCTTATTACGTTGGTTAAAGATCTTTTATGCGAATCTATCAGAGAAAAACCCCTCCGGAGGGGATAATTACTCACGTTTAATTGCTAGAGCGCGTCCATTCCCGTTATACGTGGGTTTTTGCGCGTAAGAAATTTCACTCGTGTTCAAATTGAGTTGGTTCGCGTAGATAGTTAATTAAAATTAGGGTTTGTGGATCAATGTGTTCGGGGGGCTTCCCTGAGTAATTCATCTCAGGGTTTCCGAAAATTCGCTCTACCGATTTCCGGATATTCCATTTTGGTTTTTACCAATTTCTAGCCCATTCTCGCTGGCGTGTACACCGTGTGTTTCTCGAGGGGGAATCCCCCCCCCCTCTCGACTCCCCGCAGATACCCATCCACGTTTACACGTGGCTATTCTCGCTTCACGCGAGCATTTTTGCGTTTACAATTCTGCTCGGGGATTAATTACTCTGAGGCGGCTAATTATTTAGGGAAAATTGTTTTTTTGGGTAATGTTGTCTTCGGTAGACTCTCCCAGACATTTTGTCTCATGGTTCGTAATTTTTGACTCTGCCATTTTCGAGTTCTGGCAAGTTGAGTTTTGAGGAATTTCAACCGTTTTGGCTGGTATGAAAAATCTATGGATGAATACGGTCTCCTCTCTCTCACTCTCATTGTCCCTCGCATACCTTTCCCCTCCAATTCTCGGAATTCTCGAGTATTTAGGGATTAGCGTGTATTTCTACTCTCCCCAAATGTTTATTTCGGCATATTTAAGATATTTATCGACGATATTAATTTCTTCGAATATTTTTTGTCAGATCAGACTATTTTCTATCAGAGTGCGGAATTAATATTATGATTATTATTATCGTTAGTGTTGTTAGTTATTAATTGTTGATTTTTCTTTTTTTTTTTTTTTTGAGAGAATTGAAATGTCTTTTTTTTGTAAAATTGGTAATTCTTAAATTTCAGTAGTGAAACCAGTAAGGATAATGTCGATCTCCTTTTTTTTTGCTGTTTCGTAGTTTGGACTGCCCCATTAACCCGTTTCCACCTGAAATCCACCCCTTTCTTCACAACCTAGCACAATGAGCCAACCAAGGACCGTTACCTTTCCCCAAAAATCTTTCTCCCTTTTTTTTGTACGTTTTAGAGTCTTTCGAATTGGTAGAGTTGATTTTGTAGTTTCCTTCGGTTTGGTAATTCCGGCTAAAAATTACCTGGCGCCCATAGATTTCTGCATTTTTGAGTTTCACTAGATTCAGGGGAAGAAGGGCGAAGGTAATAGGCATTTTAACCCCCATGAAAAATGTCACGTTACAGATGAGTAAAAAAAACAAATTTCTCGTTCATTTCTAATTGGTTTTGGGGTTTCTACCTAAACTTCTACCTATTTCGTCCTTCAATTAACACAATGCGTTGTGACATTTTCCCTGGTCTGCCCTAAAGGTCAGTCGAGCGACGACCTCCAAACAGTATACATTCGAGCAATTGTTGTATTATAATTTTTTTTTCATACAGTAAACAGTGGCAAAAGCAGATGTTAATATGCCGGAAACGCGACAAGTGACCGACCTTGTATTTATCGATAACGCAATTCCTGAAATTCGTGGAAATCGATTACCCTCCAATAGACAGGTTTTACAATGTTCCTTCTATCATACAAGACATGCTACACCGAAATTCACGGCCCGCGAAGCTGCAGTGTGTGTTTTACGAAAATGCACCATCTTTTGGGAATACGCGGAAATTCCAGTCTACGATGAATCATATTCAATCCGTCAGATGAACAAATTGGTGGAGGAGTATAAGATTATCTTGAAATATGGATCACGGAAGGAGACATCTATGACGGTTCAAACGAAAATTATAGATTTTAAAAGTAAGTTGGACGATTTGTTTGACATCGCTCTCCAGAAAGAAGTTGCTGTCATGACAAATGAAGCTGCTAGAGAATTATTGAATTTGCATCGTGAAAAAGGACAAAATGGTTGTTTGCATACAATCATTGATACTAGAATCTGGATCCGTAGTACATCGATAACAGAGGAAGAAGCAATTAATTCATCGAAACAAGGTACGTCAGCATCACTGAACATTTTCTTCCCAACTGTTTAGAAAAATACACACGCAATATTTTTGATACATATCTCCAAATCTATGAGACATGGGAAATATTTTCTTACTCTGGTTTATCACGTATGAAAAAATTCAATAGAAAACCTACCTAATTCGCTAGAAAATTCTATTGGAATTCTATAGAAATTCAATGGAGTTTCTATTAGATTTCTATTGGAATTCTGTTGAAAAATTATATGCGGTTTTTGCATTGATTTGATTGGATATTCCACAGGAAAAATTCAATAGATTTTGAATCTCTGTTTGAATTTTTCTCTTGCGATTTTTTCTATAAGAATGCTTGGGCATCAATTTTCTAAGTTTTTTCCACTCGGATTCTGTAATGCAAAACAAAACAAAATACAGCAGAAAAACTCAGCAGTAGTGCCCAATAATTCTAATAGAAAAAATCTCAAAAGAAAAATTTAAACAAAAATTCAAAATCTATTGACTTTTCCCTATCGAATATCCAATAGGGTCAGCACAAAAAACAAATAGAATTTTCCAACAGAATTTCAATAGAAATGCTAT